GCCCAGATCCGCCGCCGAGCCTGGATCGGAGGCGACAGTGGGACCTAGTGGGCGCGGCCGGCACCAACTGGGGGTCAGGGTGCCCGGGGCAGGGAGGCGGTGACCCGGGACTGGGCAGGAGGGAGAATAGACCCTCGGACCTCCGAGGTTCTTCTGAGAGCGCAGACCCTGAGCGGACGCGAAAACGACCAGGGCTGGGGGCCAAAAACTGATCAGCGCTGAGGGGCTCAACGACGCGGCCGGCCTGAGTGTTCTCCGGTGGCGCCGGGGAGCAGGTGAACAGGTCCTCACTCCCAGCTCCACGCCCTCACGCACTCTCGCCCGGAATCCCGCTCCCGCCTGCAGCCATGGGCCGCGGCCCCCGCGGCGCCGCTCGCATCCTACGCCCGACGCTCTGTGCTCTGGTCTTGATAGTGGCCGCCGGCGGCCGCGTCGGCTCCGCATTCAACCTGGACACCCGATTCCTGGTGGTGAAGGAGGCCGGGAACCAGGGCAGCCTCTTTGGCTACTCGGTCGCCCTCCATCGGCAGACGGAGCGGCAGCAGCGCTACCTGTAAGTGAAGCTGGCAGCGGTCGGGTGGGAGGGAGAGAGTTGGTGTACCGGGCCCGGATCCGGAGCTGAGTCTGAGCCCTGGGCCCTCTGGCTTCCAGGCCCGCTGGCTTCCAGGCTCGAAGGCCGCCTGCTCTTTCGAGCGAGGATTAAGGGGGCGGGGGCCTGGGCAGCCCCCCTGCTACCGAGGCTTGGCGGGAAGTGGAGGGATTGGTGCGGGATGGGGGGGGCAGTCATCATTGGCAAGTGCCGACCAGACCAGAACCTGTCTAGACTCAGCCCCTCAGCCTTTCCAACCTCCCTGGAGAACAGAAGTGGAGTCCTCTTTTCCTGAGCTCCCTCCCATTCTGGGAACCGAGTACTCAGTGTACTGAATGCCTCTTGTCTCCAGGGCTGGGAGCTGGGGGAAACTGCAAGATAAAACACCTAATGGATCCATCTTCCCCCTTTCCTGGGAAGAACCTATGGGCATATGCATTTAAGCCTGCCCCCACCTCGCACTTAGTCTGCAGCCACACCAGCCACACCCTCTGCAGAACTAGACTTGGAGGGCCTTCTCAACTGCTTGGTGGTTGGAGAGTGAGGTGATGGGCAAGTCTGGGCGTTTGGAGCTGTCCAATCGCTCCTTCTGACCCCTTGAGGATGGGGAAGCAGAAGTGAGATGAGCAGCTGTCCCAACTTCTGTCGGGTCTCCTGCACCCACCCCAACCCCCAGCAGTGATGCCCTCCCACCAGACTTCTTTGCATTCCACAGAATCATGTTCAATCTTCAACCCTGAGTGTTTGTTTTGGTTGAAGAGGGAAATAGTATTTTTCTCTTTCTTCTGTTCTTCTTCTCCAACAGCTGCAAGGAGAAAAAGGGGAAAGAGCTAAGCGTAACGGAGAGAGGGGAAGGAGACACAGCCAGCTGCTAGCGCAGTCCCCCACCCCCACTCCCATACACACTCATTCCCAAAGGGGCATGTCCAGGTTTCACGAGTTTCTCTGCCATGAGCTCAGTGCGCTGAGGTTGGCAGCTAGGGGAAGAGGGCAGCTGCTGGGGGTGAGACTGCTCCAGTAGGGAAGGTTGTTAGGACAGGACAGGCAGACCCTCTTTGGGTGGTAGCTCTAATGGTTGACCTCCCGAGATGTCAAACCTTGCTGAGCAAGAGGACATGGTCAGGTAAAGGGTGTGTTGAAACCTTTCCCAACTCTGGCTGGAACCTGCAGAAACTTGAGGAAGTTGAAATGTCAAAGTCCATCCAGACTCTGCCCTGCTGGCCCAGCCCCTGCCCAGTCTACCTACCTACTTGGCCTCAATTCCATCTAACTTCTGCAGAGTCCAGGGTCACCACACCCTTCCCAGTTCAGCCCCAGCAGCTGCAGTCTGGCCTTAGCCCATCCTCCATCTTTTGGAGACCCTAAGTTACCATCAGAACAACTTTCTATATTGGTGCTCTTTCCGTCCCAGCCCAGAAAAAGATTTTCAGAATTTTAATGCTGAATCTGCATGATATAAGGCAACACAGTGTAAAGAGAACATCAGAAAAGCAAGAGTAAATAATGCAAAGCTGAATAAATAATGGATTCTGTAATACTCTCCCCTTCTTTTTGCGATGTGACCTTGAGCAGGATATTTCCCTTCTCTGGGCCAGCTTTCCCCAAGGAGGGGTTGGGCCGGGATCTATATATTCCTTCCTGTCTCTTTTGGCCTATAAGAGGCAACTTGGCATCGTGGAGGGAGAAGAGGCTCTGGAGTCCCATTGCCAGTTTCCCGTTTTGGATCTGTCCCTAATAACTGAGTCTTACTTTCCTCACATGTCACGGGAAGGGGAACAGTGCACCTTCTTCATGGGGTGATAGTGGGGCTTTAACGAGACAATGCATGTAAAACACTCTGCATCTGCCTATTTCTCCAAGGAGCAGCTAAGGGTTCTCGTACTGAAGCCGGGACCGGGATGCCCCCTCACTACCCAAGGGCCTCACTCAGGATTTCTTCCTGGGCAGCTAAAGATGGCATTAGCCCTGCCAAGAGCCCAGAAAGTTCTAAAACTAATGAATCTCAGAGAGGCAGGTAGATATCGATAGAGTTCTTGGTCACTGTCTTGGGTATCCTCAGTCTTTTTCCAGGGTGGTTCTACATCTTGGCTCGTCTCCTCATCTCACTGAATTCTGCCTGTGACCCTTTGGGAGAGCCAGCTGGGCCAGCTGGGCTTAGCTGCAGGCAGCTGTGTAGCCAGATGTGAACAGCTGCCAGAGTGCACAGCTCAGGAGAACCAGCAAGTCAAGTTGCGGTCTTACACTCTGTTAGCTTCAAAGTCCCTTTGGGAAAGGGTGAGGGTTCATGGACTTCACTGAAGGTTTTCATGAGATTCGGGGACTCTGGAAAGTACATGCGAAATCATATGTATTTGTGCATTGTTCTGGGGCTGGGAGGAGGGGAGAACATAGCTTTCGTCATATTGTCAAAGAAGGCCTTATTCCGGAAATGGTTAAAAGCCCAGGTGTGTCTTTGTTTCCTGTCACTTTCATCTCTAGACTGAGGTTCCATGCCCACAACATCGGAGGCTCACCCCAACCCAGGCCCCACTTTCCCAGTTTCTGAAGTAAGAAGTCAGGATCAGGACAGAGGACCAAGATGCTTTGGGCTTCTTGGCCAGATACATGAGGACCCCAGGGGAAGTAGAGGGACCATTCCTCTGGGAGATGATCGCTGACCCCCACTTCTCCCAGCGCCTGTTCTGTCATTCCCTCCTGGGAATCCAGGTATCCTGGTGTCCTGGTCTGTCCTGACTTTGTGGGCTTTGGGAGATAACTCTGGGGCCCTTGCCTGGAAATGGGAGTGTCTGGGAAGCCTGGGGCGGGGGTGGCCACGGCTCCTGGAAGATGATGTCATACCTGAGGTAGGCAGGAACCAGGCTCACTTGCTCTCCTAAAACATGTTTCTCTGGGCAGGGCAGGCGCCTGGCAGCCTCCAAGGCTCGTGCCAGAGGAAATGGGCATAGCAACTGTGGCTGAAAGAAGGGTTGGGTGCGCAGTGTCCTTTTCCTCTGGCTCTCTCCAGTGACCAGACAAGGCCAAGGAGCTTAAAACCGGGCAGAAAGTAGGGGAAGCCTGATCTCGTAGAAAATGAAGTGAAAGGGGCTTGGTCAGAACCAAAGAAAGAAAGAAGACGATGTCAGTTACAACAAGAGAAATTGAGGTTAGATGACACGAAGAATGCCCTAAGGGATCAAATGTGGAAAAAATACTAAGGAGCCAAGGAAAGGGAGAAGAAATGAGAAAAACAGCCTTGTTCTTTATTACCGAAGCTTGGGCAAGGCCTCTTTCTCCTAGCTTCTCTCATTCTCTCGCTTCCTTCAGCTTGTTGCTGATTCTAGGGCTGAGTCACCAGAGGGGAGAGGGGGCTGGGTGGGCAGCAGTGTAGGATGGAGAGCGCTGCAGTTCCAGCTACCACAGGAGCAGCCTCTGGGGACATGGCTAATTTGGGCAGCAGGATTGGCACAGAGCTGGGATCCAGGCATCTGAGAGCTGCCCCCACCCCAGGGCTCGGAGCTGGAGCAAGCCCCCTCCTCAACCAGCTTCCTGGCCTAAGGAATAAGGCATGGGGGCCTGGTGCCTGAGTGCCAGCCTCTCTGGCCCCTCCGTTTTAACTCAAGTCTTCCTACTGGGGCCACCCCAGTGCCTCCCTGAGATGAGAAGTCTGGGAAGTGGAATCTTACAGGCCATTTCTCTGAGTTTCACCCCACCCCTGTGTCCCTCCGGGGGCCTCCTTCTCTGGGGTGAGCCAACCTGGTGCACTGACACCCTTGGACCCCCTTCCCCAGCCTCTGATTCTACTGTTTTCTATTTTGCTGTTCTATTAGCTTTGAAGAATGGTGGGGAAGGGGTGAGGAAGTGCTTCTCTGGAACTTGGAGCCCAGGGGCCTCCCTGGAGGCCAGGAGGGGCTATCTGTCTATAGCCAAAGGAGAGGGTGAAGAGGCAGCTGTTTAAAGGCCCTTAAGAGGTCATTTCACCATCTCCCTACCTCCTGGAGGGGCACCTGACCCCACCCAGCCCAGCCTGACTTCGGGAGAGAAATTTCCTTTCTTCCTTGCTCTAAGAGCAGGGCAAAGCATCCCACCTAGCATCTCACTTCTGACTGTTGCTGGGAGGGTGGCCTCAGTGGTGGTCTGGGAGGGATCAGCTTCTAGACTCTGATCTGGACCAGATCCAGCAGCAGGAGCAATGTGCTCATTTGCATAGTTATTTACATCTCATCTGCACACCAGTGAGGTCTTTCCCACCCTCTGAATTCTCCCAAACCTGGCTGTGGCTGGAGGAAGCTGGACCTGACCGTCTGCACGCCCGCTTCCCCCATCCACTCCCAGTCTTCTGGCTGTAGACCCATTGGATCCCGGGCTGGGAGCCAGAGGGCCTTAAAGGGCCTCTGAGCGAGCCAAGTAGGAGCTAAAAATACTCCAGGGGGCCTGGGGGAGGCTCCCTGTGGAATCTCTGGGGAGGGAGGGGCCTGGGATGCAGGGTTGGAATTAGGGCCCTGTGCCACTGCCCATCAGTGGGCACAAGATTGGTGTGGGATGAGGGCCGAGGGGGTATAGATGGTAAGGGAATTTATGTCAATCCAATTGCTGTTCATGCCCAGCTCTACCTCCTCAGAACCTCAGGAGGCTAAGAGGAGGGGTCCCTTAGGCCACTCGCTCTAAGATGTGTGAGCTGAGAAGGTGTGGCCACCCTGCTTCTCAGTCACTTCCTGCCCCCACAACTTGGGCCTGGCAGCAGGCATGGCAGCACTTCCCTTGGACTGCACACCCTGGAATGCAATCTGGGCTCCTCAAGGCTCCCTCGCCCACTGAGGCCTGGACCCATCCCTTCAAGGTCATTGTAGCCACCTGCAGCCAAATCTGAGCTCCCACCCTGGAATGACTCTAGCTGCCAGTACCCTACCCCCACCTTAGTAACTGCCTGGTATCCTTAGGCCATAGAAGTGTTACGTCTGTCTCATCCTCTGCCCACCCTAAACCCCTGAACTGGTCTGCTTTTTGCTGTCTGCTCCCGGCCCCGTTAATTGGTAGGGCGGAAATTCCTGGGTCCCTGCAGCAAGGCCTGGGGGTGTGCTAGGACCAGTCCTGGGGCCACAAGAGAGCAGACGGACAGTGTTCATGTTGGCCTCAGCTTCACAGTCAGAAGGCCCTTTTGAAGAATGAACCCATTTGTTCCCCCAACAACCCTGGAGGTTGGTGGGACAGCTGCTGTCCCATTTTACAGATGAGACACTCAAAGCTCAAAGAGGGAAGGGCAATCATCCCTCGAGGCAGAGCACATCTAGAAACAGGCCCTTTGGCTCCCCGGTTGAGATGTTCCTTTCCCACAGGCAGCAGCTCCCCTCTCTTACCTGTCAGGCATACCAGGAGCAGATGTCCAAAGGTGGACAGGTGGCAACTCACTCGGCACCCTCCCCAGCCCAGATCCAGGACAACTAATCGGCCTGGCCGCCACACTGACTCCCTGCCAGCCTTCCTGCCAGAGCTCCTAGCCCTGCTCTGCCTAGAGAAGCCACACCCCTGCCTCCAGGAACCCTTCCCCAGGGTGAGGTCTGAGGTGTGAGGTGCAGACAGAGGTCCCCTTCCTGCCACCCCTAGGCAGTGCATTCCTGACACCCAGTAGGCGGAGGCACCCAGGCCCTGGCACGCCCAGGCCCTGCCCTGCTCACTCCCTGCAGCCCTCACTCTCAGGTCCCAGGCAGGAGCTGCAGGCAGGGCTGTTGCTCTGCACGTCCAGACGCAGGCAGGAGGCCCAGCGCCCAATTTCTGAGCTGGGAGCCTCAGGCCATAGCCTTGCTGGAGCCTGATGGAGGGGCACTGAGGAGGCTGGGCCCAGCAGGATTGAGGAGGCAGTCCTGGAAGAACGTCCAGAGGCTGCAGGCAGATGATGCTGGGAGAGCAGGGGGTGGTAGAGTTGGGGTCTCAAACAGGGGTGCATGTTAAATATGCAGGTTCCAGGGCTCTACCCCCAGATTCAATTCAGATGGTCTGTGGTAGGCTGAGGAATTTGCCTCTGACAAAAATCCAGGAATTTCTGATGCTGGTAGCCAAGTCTTTTGAGATATTTCAAGGCCGACCACCTTTCTTCCTCTCCTCTAGCCACCTATCTGGTATGGGATGGGCTGCCAGGGCCCCAAGAACCCTTGTAGGAACTTGCAGTTGGGGGTCCCTCAAGATGAGTTCCACGCAAGCTGGGGCAAAGTGACTGACAGTACCCACCTATCCCCACTCTCACGCCCATCAACCAAGAATCTGCCCTGGGTCCACATTATCCAAAGCATCAGGTACCCAGCACCCCACCCCCTCTCCATACCCCTTATATCTGTCTCAAAGTGATGGGGAGTAGACATCACCCAGGTCACTTAGGGCCCTGCTGAACCCAGCACCCAGTTCTGGTTAGGGGTGAGTTGTCACCTCGTGCTCACATTCTTTAGTGCCGACCCCTAGATCTAAGTCCTCACATGGCTTGGAACCCAGGCCTCCAACGACCCACCCCACCCCACCTTCTCACACACTGTCTCCTCAGGCCAGGGGAATTTGAACCCTCCTCCAGTCTTGCTCTCTTCCCATCTACCTTCATCTCAGAGGCCAAGCATTCCTTCCCAAACCCAGATCTGATTATGTCACTCAGATGCCAAAACAGTCCTTTCAAAACCTAGATCTGGCCAAGTGACTCCCTTAATTATCCCTCCATGGCTCGCCTTCCCACTCTGCCCTCTTGTCCCTCCCCATGTTTCGGGACTCCGGCTGTACCGAGGTCCTTGCAGATCCCTGAGTCACCCCCCTGCTCACACTTCCTGGCTGGTGCTCCTCCTCTGCCATCACCTGGTGTGCACTGGTCATCATCCTCAGACTCAGACCGAGGTCCCCTCTTCTGTGGGCCTCCTTGATGGCCGCCCGTGCATAGTCTGGGCTAGTTTGTTCCCTGCTTTCCTCTCATGAGGCATTGCCTGAAGGTGTCTGTCTCCTTGTCTGCCTTCTACCCTGGGCACTCCTAGAGGGCAGGGGTGGGGATCCATTCATCTCCAGACCACAGAGTCTGGCACAGAGCAGATGCTCGGTAAATGCATGTTGAGCAGCAAGTTGTGTGAAGCGGGCTTTGGTGAGTTTGAGGCCGGCTCCACTTACCTCCTTGTTTCTAGGCTCCTGGCTGGTGCCCCCCGGGACCTCGCTGTACCTGATGGCTATACCAACCGGACTGGCGCAGTGTACCTTTGCCCACTCACTGCCCACAAGGATGACTGTGAGCGGATGGACATCGCAGAGAAAAGTGAGGGGAGGGCCTGAGGATCAGTGCTGGGTCAGGGGCCTAGTGGAGAGGGTAGCACAGAGAGAATGGCTGGAAGAGATAGGAGGCTCACCTGTGCAGTTTCAAGTCCCTTCTTGTCCAGCTGGGAAGAGGGAGCCCTAGAGGATAGGGGAACCATGTGGGATCTGCGGAGCTCAGACTGTGATGGGCTGGAGAAGGGGAGGAGGGGGGTGTGCCCTGCTGGAGGGGAGAATCCTGGAGGGACCAACCCCTGCCCTATGGAGGCTCTGGACGCTGGGAGGATGGGGCGAGGTGCCCTGGCTCATGATTCCTCCCGTGCCCACAGGTGACCCTAACCATCACATTATTGAGGACATGTGGCTCGGGGTGACTGTGGCCAGCCAGGGCCCTGCAGGCAGAGTGTTGGTAAGTGAGCTCACTGTCAATCCTGCCCTCTAGCCCTCTCCTTCATCTCCCAGAAGCTGAGGACGGAAGCAGCAGGCAGGAGAGGGGTCCTCGGTGCACACACTGGAGCCTTGAAAATGTCCATTTCTGTGGCTGTTTGTCTCCACAGACATGTGTGTCCTTTCATCCTGCACTTATGGTGGGGGGGGCGGCTGGCTGTCTCCAAAGGCCCGGCCTGGGTCCTGTCTGAATCACTCACTCACCCCCACCCCCAGGGGGTGCTCACCCTTTGTGGGAAAGAGCTGAGGGAACTGTGAGAGGGAAAGGGCAGAGAGGGCCTCGGGCGGTGTGGCCTGGGCGCGCTCCTTCCGGGGAGGCTGGCTGGTGGAAGAGGCACAGCCCTGCTGCCCCAGCTCACCCGGCTTGGGTTTGGGGGCCACTCCCTGCTGTCAGTTGTCACCTCCTGCCTGCATTCTTCAGTGCCGACCCCTGAGAGCTCGATTTTTGAGTCCCAGATAGACTGTTTTTCATTTTTTAAACTGATGTAATATTTATATACAATGAACACACAGATTTTAAGTTTCAGTTGAGTTTTGACAAATTAAACATCTGTAACCAACATGTATTAAAGAAATAACATATTTACATCATTCCAGAAAGTGCACTCCTTTCCAGTCAGTGTCACCCCAGAGCCTTCACTGTTGTGATTTCTGTCACATTTGAATATTTGTAAGCTCCGGGTTTGCACCAGTTCCCTAAAACACCCTTTCTAGTCTCTGTTATGGATGGTGTGGGTCTCAGATTCCACTTAAGAAAGTTCTAGATCCTGGGTCCTTCAGCAGTTTTCCACACACCCTTCCATTCATTCCATACTTTTTCGTGAGCACGTACTGCGTGCCTCACACTGTGCAAGCACTAGAAACTCGGCAGTGACTTGGGACAGACTCGGACCAGAGCCTGGGTTTGGCTCACAGCTGGAAGAGCACATAAAAGGCAAACTAACGAGAAATAAGCCTGGGTCTGGGTTTTGCCTGGCCCTGCTGTTTTTACAAATACCCTTTTCTGATTGATTTGTCCAAGAACTATTTTTGGAGCACCTCCAATGTGCCAGGAGAAGCGACAGCACAGCCTGGTGCTTAAGAGCTCAGACTCCAATATCCTCTGCCTCTCTAGATGCGAGATCTTAAGCAGGTTACTTAGTTTTCTGTGCCTCAGTTTCCTTATCTAAAATGGGGAAGATAATCGCCCTTGCTCCATAGAGCTGGTAGGAAGCTTAAAAGGATTAATGCGTGAAGAGCTTAGACTTGGGTCTGGAGTGTAGTAAGTTCTCAGTAAGTGTTAGCTGCCCCTATCGTGGCTTTTCTTGTTTTCTGATAGTGGTCCTTTCATTAAGAGGGCAGCAGAGAAGGAAGTTCATAACCTGCTGTGTATCTAGCTCCTTTTATTTATTTATTTATATTTTTTGTGGGGGAGGTAATTAGGTTGATTGATTGATTTAATGGAGGTACTGGGGACTGAACCCAGGACCACCTCATGCATGCTAAGCACTCACTATACCACTGAACTATACCCTCCCCCATCTAGAGCCTGAACCCCACATTCCTTCATCCTTTTCCCATTTTGTTTTGCCAGGCTCTCTAAGCCACTGTCAAATCCAGTAGCTTTTGGTCCTCCAAAAACAGCATTCCTAACTTTCAGAGCAAGTTTCTGAATTCTGGAAAGTCAGTGTCCATCCAGGCATCACTGTGGCAAGAAAGGAGAGCCAGGAGGCCTCTTTCCACTCCTCTCCCACAAAGCCAGGCACAGGGCCATGGAGTTGCTGGCCCTGGGTCCCTGTTCTGGGCTCAGCTGTGTGTGCTGGGGGGTTGGGGTCCCCAGGTCTGTGCCCACCGCTACACCCAGGTGCTGTGGTCGGGGTCGGAGGACCAGCGGCGCATGGTGGGCAAGTGCTATGTACGGGGCAACGACCTGGAGCTGGACCCCAGGGATGATTGGCAGACCTACCACAACGAGATGTGTAACAGCAACACCGACTACCTGGAGACGGGCATGTGCCAGCTGGGCACGAGCGGCGGCTTCACCCTGAACACTGTGTACTTCGGCGCTCCTGGTGCCTACAACTGGAAAGGTGGGCATGGTGCAGGGGGAAGAGGAGGAGCAGAGACCACCACCCCTGCTAGCCCCTGGGGCAGCCTGCCAGAGCATCCACACCGGAGGGCAGAGGAGAGCACCCCTTTGCTAACAGCAGCAACCATTATGACCTCCGCTATTTTAAAGCACTTACTATGTGTGCCAGATGCTTTACACATATGATCTTAATTAATCTTCAATATTCTACAAGGCAAGTACTATTATATCCATTTTACAGAAAACTGAGCCTCAAGGAAGTAAAGTAAATCGCTCAAGGCCAACAGTAGGTTCTGAAACCTGAATTGGAATGCAGGTCCCTCTGACTCCAGGTTAACTATTTAAAAACTTATTAAAAAATAAAACACATTCCTGGTACAACTACTAAATGGTACAGTAGGATTTGGTAAAATAACGAGTAAAAGCGCCATTCCCCTCCCCTATCTCCCTTGTCCCATTTCCCAGTGTACACTGCTAAGTGTCTTGTGGATCATTCTAGTCTTATTTTAGAATACATAGATATCTTAAGAAACACACACACACACAAACAAAATCATATTAAACTTGCTGTCTGCTACTTCCTTTTCACTTATCAATAAATTGTGGGCATTTTTTCATGTCAGTACATATAAGGCCATCTTTAGGGCAGGGCTCCAGAGTATTTCCCTGTATCAAAACCCATGCTTGTAATGACCACACCACACACTGCCCCTCAGGAGTCTGGCGGCTCACACCCCCTGCATCTCTGCCCCTCGCTCCACCATATAGTCTGCAGCAACAGTGACCCCTTTTTCCTTACTGCACCCTACTGCTGCAGAATCAACAGGCAGAGGGAGCCCAGAATCTTGTCCTTTGTTTTAATTGCGGTATAGTTGAGGTATAATATTATGTTAGTTTCAGGTGTAAAACATTAGTGATTCAACATTTAAATACATTACAAAATGATCACATGATAAGTCTAGTAACCATCTGTCCCCTTACAAAGTGATTACATTATTACTGATCATATTCTGTGTGCTGTATATTACATCCCCGTGACATTTATTTTGTCCTCTTGACTAACAGGTAGCCTGAGGTGTAGTCATAGCTCTGGGCTCACCTGAGGCCAAGGCCTCTGCTTACTTCTTTAGTCTTGCCTCCCACCCCCTGGTCTTTAGAACCCTGGCATTCAGCAGCTCTGAGGAGCAGAGGACAGGTAGGCAGCCTGAGTTTGGGGGCAAGATTAGGAGATGATGGTGTGGAGTCTGACTTCAATGTCTAAGGTGGGGGAAATCTCATCTAGTTTCCAGGTGCCAGGATGACTGGATTCCAGCCACGGCTGGACCAACTAGCACTCCATCCCTCAGCCTCACTTTTCTCATCTGCAAAATGGGGGTCATCATTTTACCTCACAGAACTGTTAAAGAGGAAGTGGTTTGCAAGTGGCAAAGTACCCACAAATAAATGGGGTTATTATTATCCTTATCTGGGAGACTTATACTCTCTCTTCTCAAATCCCTGTGAAGGAAACAGCTACATGATTCAGCGGAAGGACTGGGATTTATCCGAATATAGTTACAAGGACCCAGAGAACCAAGGAAACCTCTATATTGGTGAGTCCAGTCATGGTGGCCCATTGGGTGGGGAGGAGGAAGGCGGCTCAGTCCCTGGCACCCTGGCCCTCTCACCTTCAGTGCCTGATGGAAGAGTGAGGCCAGGTGCAGTGTGACTAGTGTTAGTTCAGCTCGCACACACTCACTGACCATCACCTCTATGTACTCAAGATAGAGAGTCCCTACCCTCATGGAGCTCACAGTCCAGTGTGCAGGTAGGACTGGAGGCTGGGCAACCAAGGTCCACTTTCTTGGCCAACTTAGAATAGGGAATAGAAGATAAAGGGGGGACTTGGGGGGATGAGTCCAGAAGGGGACAAACCTTACTGGGGCCTTGACTGACCGTCTTCCCTCCATCCCAGGGTACACAATGCAGGTGGGCAGTGCCATCCTGCACCCCACGGACATCACCATTGTGACGGGTGCTCCGCGGCACCAACATGTGGGCGCTGTCTTTTTGCTGAGCCAAGAGGCAGGTAGAGACCTGCGGAGGAGGCAGGTGCTGGAGGGCACGCAGGTGGGCGCCTATTTTGGCAGCGCCATTGCCCTGGCAGACCTGAACAATGATGGGTGAGAATCCAGGGACATTTCTCTGGGGCCAGGGAAAATGGCGAGGTGGGTTGGCTTGCCCAATCCAGGGTGGAGAAGCGGAGGTTTGCAAATACGCATTTTTTTGCCATTGTTTGCAGGGATTTGCAAGTCAATTTTGCACGTTGATTTGCAATCAGATTTATGAGATTCTGGGTGTTTGCATGTCAATTTCATGACACTTGCATCTCTTTGTCTATGCCTATCACTTGTATGGCCCTAGTGGATGTGGGCTGTTTGGGTGCCTGCATGGCTTCTCCACAACATGTGTTTTCTATTAGATGAGTCACTTTGACACTTCCATGTCCTTCCCATGACCTATGGCCAGAGGCACCATTTGTACATCATGTGCCCTGGCACAGTTTTGCCGGCTAAGTAAGACTAATGCTGCATGTCCCATCTCCCCCTCCTTCTCTCCTCTGCAGGTGGCAGGACCTTCTGGTGGGTGCCCCCTATTACTTTGAGCGGAAAGAGGAGGTAGGGGGTGCTATTTACGTCTTCATGAACCAGGCAGGCACCTCCTTCCCGGCCCACCCCTCCCTCCTTCTTCATGGCCCCAGTCGCTCCGCCTTTGGCTTCTCTGTGGCTAGCATTGGTGACATCAACCAGGATGGATTCCAAGGTATGAGCCAGCACTCCTACCCCAGCACCCACTGACTGAGAGCCAGCTGCATACCAGGCTTGACAAAGCTCGAAGACGAGACGGGCTAGGGCCCAGTTCTGGAGAGCTCACAGCAGTGCTGGGAAGATGATGTGCAGAGGGGGTCCTCAAGGCAAGCTCGGTGAACCTTCTGGAGGGGTGGACATACCATTGGGCAATGAAGGCTGGGCTGAGTGTGCACAATGGAGGGAACAGAAGGGGTGCAACATGAGTATGGTACACTTGCCTGATGTGCCCAAATCTAATGAATGTGGGGTGTTCACATCAGAGATGAGGCTGGAGAGGTAGTATGGAGGTGGGGTAGACACTTTGAAAGCTGGGTGGAAAAACTGGCACTCTCTATTTGGGTAATGGTAGAGGGACGTCCAAAAAGGTTTGGGGGCAGAAATATGATATAATAGCTTGGTACCTTGAAAGATGATTCTGGAGGTAGATGAGGGATGGATGGAGGGAAGAGCAAGTCTGGGGGTTTGTAAGATAAGGAATATAGTATATCAGGTGTGGGGTGTTAAGCGCTGGGACAGGGAGGAAGTCCCAGATATGGGGGGGCATCACTAATGATCTGCAGGACTTGGAGACCAATCAGACCTGGCATGTCAGGGAGAGAGGAACAGATCAAGGGGTCGAGCCTGGCTGCCACAGGAGCACCTGGCTTATCTGGGAGTCACTTCTCTGACAGCCTCAACTTCCCAGAACATGGCTGAAAACCAAAAGGAAGGCAGAGGAGCCACTAAAGGGCCAAAGCAAGTGCTGGAAAGTTCAGTTAATGGAGCCTAAGAACTTACTGATACAAGATTTGTCCGGTTGTCACTCAGGACCTATTACTCTTCCTTTATATACTCTGCTAACAAGCTTGGCTTTCTAGTCACCTAGACCTTATCAGTTCAAAAGCAGCAAACTAGAAAGTTTAAGAAGAGAAATCATTTTGGATTTATGTGTGGAAATAATGGTTAGAATTTTTTAAAGTCTGGACATTTTAACAGTGTTGTGATTAAAATCCCAGCCCCTACTGTTTGACATGGGCTCAGACAGCCTCTTCCCTACTCATTATCTGTGAGGCTTGGGGGCTTTCTGAGCCTTTTTCCTCCTCTGTGAAGTGCAGACCGTAGTAACTACCACCAGCGCTCTTGTGAGGATTGGAGAGATGAATGCTTTAGTAAATACCTGGCAAAGTCACCAGCAAGGAACACCTGCTTTTGTGACCCTGCTGGTAAATGTCACTAGAAGAACCAGGTGTTCAGAGGGGCGGTTGGTGGGGGAGAAGGAAGGTACTATAATAAGAGAAAACAAACAACAACCAGTGGTCAGGAATCCAGGCTTTTAGGCCTGCCTGAGACATTATCTTGCTGTGTGACTTTGGGTAAGTCACTTCCCTCTCCTGGACCTAATTTCTCTCATATAAAAGGACAATCAGGCACCCGATGGTCCCAGTTTTAATCCCGAGCCACAGAGCTCTGTTCCCTGATGCTCTGAGCACTGCCTGGCATGGTGAGATCAGTGCCATGCTAGGCTTATGGCCGTGGGACCCACAGTATCCACAGTACCATGACCCATGTACTATCTCTCTTCCCCAGACATTGCTGTGGGAGCCCCATTCGAGGGCTTGGGCAAAGTGTACATCTATCACGGCAGCTCCGGGGGGCTCCTCAGACAGCCCCAGCAGGTATAGATGGACAGGGACTAGGGGGCCTTCCTCCTTTCCCTCACCCATCCCTCCCGATTCCCCCTGGGCCCCACTTCCCAGAGCCTACCCCAGAGCCTGTCCCCACCACTTCCCCCTGCTCCCAGATAATCCACGGAGAGAAGCTGGGACTGCCTGGCTTGAACACCTTCGGCTACTCCCTGAGTGGGCAAATGGATGTGGATGAGAATTTCTACCCGGACCTGCTGGTGGGGAGCTTGTCAGACCGCATCGTGCTGCTGCGGTGAGCCAGGGCGACGTGGTCGGAGCCTTTCTATCCTCCATCCCTGTCTGTATGGAGCCCCAGCTCTGTCCACCTTCAGCACCAAGTCCATGCAAGCCTGAGCCCCGACCCCGGCCTGGCCTGGGGCAGGCCAGAGGCACTGATGTCTGTGTGTGTTCTGTGCAGGGCCCGGCCTGTCATCAACATCCTCCACAGGACCTTGGTAGCCAGGCCATCCGTGCTGGACCCCGCGCTCTGCACGGCCACGTCCTGGTGAGACTCTCAGGGCCCACTCTGCCCACCCATTCCTCCTGATGTATGGGCAGGCTAGGGGGCACCCTGGCTCCCCAAACCCTCCCTTGGCAACTCTTCATAACCTACTGTTAAAGGGTTGATTCTTGGGTAAGCATTGCCCTCCCTTCACACCTCATTAAAAAGCAAAATTCTGTGAGGAGTATGTAGCTCAGTGGTAGAGCACATGCTTAGTATGCACGAGGTCCTGGGTTCAATCCCCAGTACCTCCATTAAAGAAAAAAATTTGAAAAACTAAAAAGCAAAATTCCTTGCAGGAGGTAATGGGTAGACTGGGGCAGTAGAGCATGGTGAGTGGGAGTGGGAGCTCTGGACTGCTTGGTTCAAATCCCAGCTCTCCCCACTGCAGTGGTAGGGGTGGACTCTGGGGAGTGAGATCCTAGAAGAAGAGAGAAGAGGAAGACACTTAGGTGGATAGATGTGGGGAGGAGAGAGAGCCGTCTTCAGCAAATTATTAGTCTGAGTCTCAGATTCCTTGCCTATAACAAAGTTAATAATAATAACCAGTTCACAGGGTTATGATAATCAAATGAGGTAATGTACAAAAAGCCATTAGTATGGTGCCCTGTATACCGTTAAGTGCTCAAAAAATATTAGTTGCTAGGATGGTGATGATAATGATGGTGACGAGCCCAAGGTCGGTTTGTGAATGAGGATACTGGATCAGAAGGCAGAAGGAGACAGAGCAGGGCAGCAGAGGGTGGTGGGGAAGGAGATCTGGGCTGGGCCAACAACTGACTAATGACTTCAAGCAACTCCTTCTGCTCTCATGGCTTTAGTTTCCCCATTGGTACCCTCTAACCATGTTTTCTATGGCTCTAATGAAAGTGGGGAGAGAAGGAGCCAGGGGCGCCCCATACCAGCTCTGTGGACTCCCGTTATGCCCCTGCCTTTCCCCTGAAGGGCTCTGTTTCCCCTTGACCAGTAAAAGGGATGAGAGCCAGGACCTGGATATCCGGGTCCCACTGTGACCAAGCCCTCCTGTATGTCCCTCACCCCTCAACAGTGTGCAGGTGGAGCTGTGCTTTGCTTACAACCAGAGTGCCGGGAACCCCAACTACAGGCGGAACATCAGTGAGTGTTGGGAGGCAGGGTGAGGGGGGCCGTGCTCACCTGGTCACTTACTGACCACCCTGTGCACCTGCAGCCCTGGCCTACACACTGGAGGCCGACCGGGACCGCCGCCCACCCCGGCTCCGCTTTGCACGCAGCCAGTCAGCTGTCTTCCATGGCTTCTTCTCCATGCCCGAGATGCGCTGCCAGACACTGGAGCTGCTCCTGATGGTGAGGGAGGGGTGAGGGGCAGCATATGCGCTCCACAGTCCCAGGAGGAGGTAGCCAGAATTGCCCAGGCCAAGGGTGAGGGAATGAGGTCTCACCAGAGACAGGCGGTGGGTCAGCCTGGAAGGTCATAGGTAAGTAGAGGGTACAGTGCGCAGTCCCCAGCCCGTGGCAGAGAAGAGACAGAGACCCTCGGAGTGGGGATGGGGGCCAAAGTGAGGGGTGTGAGACTCAGCTCACCTTGGAGGAAAAGTGGTCCATTAGTGAGGGGCAAGCTCAGGCCCTCTCTGGGACATCAGGGTGAAAAGAGAGAGCTCAACCTGGGGACCCCAGGAATGAAGGGAGGCTCAATCCTCCCCCTAGAGGGATCTCTGGAGAGGAGGAGTCCCATCTCCTCACTTGTGGATCAAGGTGGTAGGAAGGGGGTCAATTTAGTAATCAGACCAGAGGGGGTTCAGCCTTACTGGGGGTGTTCAGGGTGGAGGAGGGGTGCTCAACTTCTCCCTAGGGGCTTAGGATGTGAGGATTCAAACTTGGTTTGCAGTGCAGAGCTGGATTCATCTCACCTTCCTTTCCCAGGACAACGTCCGAGACAAACTCCGTCCCATCATTATCTCCATGAACTACTCTTTACCTTTGCGGATGCCTGAGCGCCCCCGACTGGGGCTGCGGCCCCTGGACGCCTACCCAGTCCTCAACCAGGCACAGGCTCTGGAGAACCACACGGAGGTGGGTGGGGCCGGCGCCGGAAGGGCGGGCGCCGGGAGAGCGTTGGGTGAGAGGACGCTGTGGGTGGTGGGCCCTTCACACCTCCGACCACCCCCAGGTCCAGTTCCAGAAGGAGTGCGGGCAGGACAACAGGTGCGACAGCAACTTGCAGATGCGGGCGGCCTTCGTGTCGGAGCTGGGGCAGCGGCTGAGCAGGTGCGCTGTGGGCCGCGCTGATTGGCCAAGGGTGGGGCGGATTTCATTGGCTATCGGGAATTGAGAGGCCAGACCCTATTGGTCAGGGAGCCCCGAGAGACCAGATAAGGTCTGATGGAAGGGGCCTCAGAGCTCTCCGAGAGGGGCTTTCTTCTGAGGGGCGGGGCCTAGCGGAGTGGGGAGGACCCGGGGGCGGGGCTTTGGGCTCAGCCCGGGACTCCTCCCTTCTCAGGCTCCAGTATCGGAGAGACTTCCGAAAACTGCTCCTAAGCATCAACGTGACCAATACCCCGAGCAGAGAGCGAGCTGGGGAAGACGCCCACGAGGCGCTGCTCACCCTGGAGGTGCCTCCTGCCTTGCTGCTGTCCTCAGTGCGCCCCGTGAGTGCCCTCTGCCCCCTCAGAGCCCAATTAGGGCTCCACCGTGGATTTGCATCCTTACATACCTGTCATCTACATGTCCCCCGACTCCTCTGAGCTGGGCTTCCTCAGGGGCCTGCAGCGTCACTGCTGCTAAGGGACCTGGTTCT